CGTAGATCTCAGCCTCACAACTGGAGCTGAGAACAGAAGAGGAGCGAGTAGAACGCCAAGAAACAGAACCGGAGCCAAGGCTGAAAGTGTAACCCTGTGACGACCGCTGTGTAGCCTGGTCGTCAACCCAAGAAGCGTCCGAGTGCCCAGTGAGAACCACGTCTCTCCGCCCTCCAAGCACGAGCCCCATGCCCGACGTACTGCACAAGTAGCGCAGTACCCTCTTCGCAGCATCCATGTGCACCTTTCGGTGTCGACCAGGAGCCACGTAACGGGCCAGAAGGCCAAGAAGGGACGCAAGGTCAGGACGAGTGCAGGTCATCAGGTACATGAGGCAGCCCACTAACTCTGGGTAAGGACCACTCGGCTCTACGGACTCGTCCGAAGGTGGAGCTGAGAGTGAGTGACCTGTAGCCAGAGGAGTTTGTTAGAAGAACTAGGCAAGAATGGTGCATTGAATGAAACAGTTGGGTACAAGTAGCAAACCCTAGTTGGGGTTGTACCCCATATTGGCTACCCCACTGCAGCCTACAAGCATAATGCAGTTTAACACACCCCCATAGGCAAAGTGGGGGAGAACAAAGGGTCACAAGACCAGTCCAGCAAAGCAAAGCAAAGCCCAGGGTGGATCACAACGTCACCACACTCCGAGCACAAGTAAAGGCCACAAGGCCAGTTCACATGCAGTGCTAGATATAGTACAAGACAAGCAACACAGTGATCAAAACCTAGCAAGCAAGCAACAAGATATATATAAAGTACAGTACAAAGAATGTCAAGCAGTGAGCAAGTGAGGAAACGTGGACACAAGGCCTAAAGAAGTACAGTGCCGCTGATGATCACTAGGCGGGAGCGCCTTGGTGAAGATATCAGCAGTGTTGGCCTTCGAGTCCACGTACACAAGCCGAAGCTGACCGCGCTGCTGAAGCTCTCGAGCAAGAAAGTAGCGAAGAGCAATGTGCTTCGTCCTGTGCTCCAGTCTGTGCTCCTGACACAAGGCAAGAGCCGCCTTGTTGTCACCGTACAGAACTGGAGGAGAACTAGGCCGCTCTCCCAAGTCAGTCAGCAGGTAGGTGAGCCAGCGTAACTCCTGTGCAGCCATGGCTGTGGCGTAGATCTCAGCCTCACAACTAGAGCCGAGAACAGAGGAAGAGCGGGTGGACCGCCACGAGACAGAACCTGAGCCAAGGCTGAAGGTGTAACCCTGTGACGACCGCTGCGTAGCCAGGTCGTCCACCCAAGAGGCGTCCGAGTGACCAGTGAGGACAACTCTGTCGCGTCCTCCAAGCACCAGCCCCATGCCTGATGTACTGCACAGGTAACGCAGCACCCTCTTAGCAGCCTCCCAGTGCTCTCGCCTGTGTCTCCCAGGCGCAACGTAACGAGCAAGGATGCTAAGAGGGTACGCGAGGTCAGGTCGCGTGCAAGTCATCAGGTACATGAGGCAGCCTACAAGCTCTGGGTACGGGCCACTCGGCTCTACGGACTCGTCCGAAGGTGGAGCTGAGAGCGAGTGGCTGGTAGCCAGAGGTGTGGCCTGTGGTGAGGAGAACTGGAAGCCGAAGCGCTGAAGGACCTGCTACACCATGTGTGACTGAGTCAGGGTGATGGTGCGGCGAGCTCTGTCCCGGGTGATCTGCAAGCCAAGGTAGCTACGCAGTTCACCCAGGTCAGTGCAGGTGTGTCTCTTCTGCAGCTCCGACTTCACACGAGCGAGTGCCTCAGTGTCAGCAGTAGCAAAGACCAAGTCGTCGACGTACACGAGGATGTAGAACGGCGGCAGCGACGTGTCTGTGCGCAGAAACAGCGACGGGTCAGCAGTAGACGGCGCGAACCCAAGAGCCGCAAGAGTAGTCCTCAGTGTGTTGTGCCACTCACGTGGCGCCTGGCGGAGACCGTAGACTGGCCGGCGGAGACTCCACTGGGTACCAGGGGGAAACGACCCAGTAAAGCCAGGTGGGCGGCGCAGCCAGATCTCCTCGTGCAGGCTGCCCTGCAGGAACGCTGTGCTGAAGTCAAGAGAGTGAAGCTCGTAGTCACGCTGAGCAGCAACGTGCAGCAGAACCCGAAGAGTGGTCATCTTCGGGGTGGGGGAGAAGGTCTGGAAGAAGTCGACCCCCTGACGCTGACTGAAGCCTCTAGCAACGTAACGAGCCTTGAAGACAGGCGGAGAACCTGGCGGCCGCTTCACCCTGAAAATCCACATACCATCGACGATGTTCGCCCCAGGAGGGGGAACCTCGTCGACGTAGGTGCCTGTGGACTTCCAGGATGCCATCTCTGCGTCCATGGCTGTCTGCCACTGAGAGGAGTATGGACCCGAGATCGCCTCTGCGTAAGTGCGCGGAGTGGGGATGTCTACTGCATCCGGGTCTCCCTCAGGGGCAAGCAACCAGGCCACGAGATGAGGTACAGCAGCCGCAAGTGAGTCAAAGTCCTCCTGCCTGTCCTCAAGGACGTCCGTGCCAAGAGCACACTCACCCCCGACGGACGGAGGACAGACAGACGCAGACTCTGACTCAGCGACAAGGCTAGCAGCGTAGTCTAGACGACAGGCAGCAGCAAAGTCAACCAACTCAGCGACCAGAGCAGACGCAGCCGAGGACTCAAAGGTGGGGTCAGTGACAACAGTAGCAAGGAGACGCGTGACTGTAGGGTGCTCAGCGCGATACCGGTCAGACTCAGGGTCCAGAACGGCAGGCAAAGAGGACGCAGGAGGAGACGGTAGAGGGACACGCCGAGGAGCAGTAGAGGGACGCAGAGTCATGTAGTGAGTGTCTGGGACAGGAGGAGGACGCTCACGACGGACACGACTACCAGTGCGAGCAGGACGAACAGGCGACACAGGACGAGACTCAGGCTCACGACGCTCTGTAAGACCTCCTGTGGGACCAGCGTAAGGAGAGGGAGCAGGGAGAGGCGAGGCAGGCGGTAACTGTGACTGCGGCTGGACAGGCGGAGGACACTCTACGGAGGGAGGAGGACAAGGAGGAGGAGCCTGCCCAAGAACCTGCTGAAGGAGCGGTACGAAGTACGGTCGCGGCCGCGCAGCGTCTCCAGAAGCAGAAGGGACTCCAGCGGCCGGGTCCTCAGCACCAGTAGGAGCTCCAGCGTCCGGGTCCACAGCACCAGCAGCAGCTCCACCGGCCGGGTCCCCAGCTCCAGCAGCAGCTCCACCGTCCGACTCCTCAGTACCAGCAGCAGCTCCACCAGGTGGGTCCGCAGCACCAGCAGCAGCGCCACCCCCAGAGTCGGGAGCTCCAACTCCGCTAGCACCGCCAGCGCCAGAGTCCCCAGCTCCAGCAGCTCCAGTCGCAGTGCTCCCAGAACAGCCAGTCCCGGCAGCTCCAGTACCCCCAGGACGAGCAACTCCAGCACCCCCAACTCCAGCCGAGCCACTAGGACGGCGAAAGCGTCGGACGTACCAGTCACGAAGCTGCTGCGGTGTGAGAGACTGCTCAGCACCCCGAACCGGAGCACCCCCAGACACAGTAACCCGAGGCTCCGTAGGCTCAGTAGCAGCACCCCCAGGCTCAGTACCCGCAGGCTCAGCACCCCCAGTCGCAGCACCCCCAGGCTCAGCACCCCCAGGCGGCAAACTCTCAGGCACCGTACCCTCAGCTCCAGCACCCTCAGTCCCAGCACCTGCAGCCCCAGCTCCCCCAGGCCCAGCACCCCCAGGCTCAGCACCCCCAGGCTCAGCACTCCCAGCAGCACCACCCGCAGCAGCACCTGAGTCACCTGTGACCTCGACAGGCTCAGCGACGGGAGGAGGGTCTACCTGAGAGACACCTGAGGGAGCAGGACCCTGAGGGGGAAGGGGGTCGACCGGAGGGGGACCAGGAGCAAGGAAAAGCGGCGGGGGAGGGAGGGGGGCAGTGCGGTAGGGGAAGAGACGGTAAAAAGGGACCGACTCGTCAAAGGTGACATCCTGAGAGGCGAAGACCCGGCGCGAGGTGGGGTGGTAAAACTGCCAGCCAGGCGCGTCAGGGACAAAGCCAAGGAAGACACAGGGAAGCGTGCGGGAGGAGAGCTTGTCCGCAGACGTATCGCGGACAAGGGCACGAGCACCCCACACCCGGAAGCGCGACGCATCGCCAACCTCCCCCGTCCAACGCAGTGTGGGCGAGGTCTCCGGCAAGGAGACACGGGGCCAGAGGTTGAGCTGATGCGCGGCGTACCGGACAGCAAACGGCCACAGAAAATGGGGAGCCGCCGCGTGGACCAAGGAGGTACGAGCGACCTCCATGACCAGGCCAATGCGACGCTCAGCAACCCCATTCTGCTGTGGGGAGTCCGGAAGCGTGAAGGTCTGCTCGATGCCCTCCGCCTGACAGAAGGTCCTCAAGAGATCGGAGGAAAACTCACCACCTCTGTCAGAGTGCAGACGCAGGACAGGAAGATCCGTCCGGAAACGGCGGCGGAGCTGGAGACGAACCGTGCGGATCCAAGGGATCAGAACAGCAGGGACCTCACCCTTGGTGCGCAAGGGGAAGACCGTGGTGTAACGCGAGTAGTCGTCGACAACCAGCAAAAAGTACCGCTCACCGCCCTGACCACGAACGCGGGCTGGGCCCCACACGTCCAGGTGGAGGGTCTCCAGAGGAGCCTCTGTCGGGGGGAACGAGGAGGAGTGAGGAGCGGCGCGCTGCCGCCCCTCGACGCAAGGAAGGCAAGGCGGCGCAGGCGAGGCAGGGAGGGGAGGGAGGGACCTGGGAAGACCGGACACAAGGAGGCGACGGTGCATGCCACGAAGGCGTGGCAAGGAGGGGTGACCCAGGCGGTGGTGCCAGAGAAGAGTCTGGTGCGACAGGGAGCGACACTCACAGGCGTGGGCCACCAGACCTGACGCAGACACCTGACCGACAGCAGCTACCTGGGGAGACGCAGTGGTCAGTGTGTAGAGACTCGACCCCGGCCGACGGGTGAACGTAGCCAGGTGACGGCCGGTCCTGGAGCACGTGCAGATCGCCACACGCTGTCCGCCAGGGGTAAAGGTGTCAACCCACTGATCCTGGAGGACAGCGTTGCTCACCAGGTTCGTCGAGAACGAGGGGAGGTGGAAACCCGACAACGAGCCAGACGGAACCGCCGGACAAGGGAGGACAGTGGTGGACTGGGCAAGGACTGGGCCCCCAGAGGGGTCAGCCAAGGAGACTGGGACCGGTGCAGGAAGCGGTGTGAGCTCAGTACTGTCACGAAAGAAGCAACGGGAAGCACCTGAGTCAAGGGTGAAGGTGTGACAGGCCTCAGCCGGTGCGGTACCTGAGAGAGGAGTCTGTGTGGGTGCTGTACCTGAGAGAGCAGACTCGAAACCAGCCGGGACAGCACTGGGGGGAGCAGGTACAGGGGGCACCATACCAGAGAGAGCAGACTCACTAGTACCCAGGGCAGCAGGCTCTATACCTGGGTCAGGCGGCACACACAAGTAACAGTCTCCCTCGGCACTAACAGTCAATGCATACATGGCAGCAATAATAGCATCATAGTCAAGAGCAAAGACATCAACACCAGCCCTCATGAGCTCAGCCCAGCGGGGGCGCTCAACATCCGCACCCATCTCCTCACGCCAAGCGTCGTCAAGGCGGGAGAAGCAGCGGTACGGGGTGTGGAACCTCCCACACGTCTGTCCCTTGCGGTCACCTGTGCGAATGACATAAGAACAGCGGGCACTGGCCCCCGACGTCCCACGCTGAGCAAGCCACTCACGAAGCTGCTGGGTCGTCTGGGGACGCTGCTGCTGCTGGGAGCTCTGGCCCGAGCCAGTGCCTCCACTCCGACCTCCGCCGCCACCACTACCACCGCTCCGACCGCCACCGCCACCACCGCCACCACCGCCACCGCCGCCACTACTGCCACTGCTTCCTCCGCCGCCCCCGTCTCCACCACCGACCCCACTCCCACCAGCGCTCCCGCCACCGCTCCCTCCAGCACCGCCTCCCCCCCCACCTCCCCCACCTCCTCCCCCCCCAGCGCCACCACCACCACTTTTGCCCCCCTTGCCCTTGCCGGTGCGGCGCCTCCCACCAGGAGTAGAAGCAGCGCCAACAGACTCAGCACCAAGGAAGTCAACAGCAGCAGCAGCAGCGTAGGAGGGAGCGAGGGGAGAGGGAGAACACCCCTCAAAGATGGGGGTGCGAGGAGCGCCACGAGCAGCACCGACAGCTACAATGCTCTTTTCGGCCGCGAGCAGGTGCTCCTCTAGGAGGGCGACTGTGAGCTCAGTGGGACAGCGAGCAAGGAAGTGGTCTCGAACTGAGCGGAGGGTGTCAGGGAGACGGGTGACTATGAAGTGGAGTGTCCAGTACAGTGGAGGGGGGTTCTTAGCGCAGAACTCGGTGGGAAGGGCGGCACGCAGGCGAGCATCACTAGTGCGAAGGTGGGTGATAAGATCGGCGACTGTAGTAAAGGTGGACAGATCGGGGAACAGGTACGGCAGCATGAGGCGGCTAAGCTCGGCTGTGGCAGGCGAGGAGTAGCGAGCGACGACAGCGTCGTACAGGGCCTTAGCGGATTTGCAGTCGCCAAAATGCTCTAGCTCAGCTAACGGCAGGTGACTGCGAATGGCTAGGCGAGCAGCTGCGTCACGAGTCTGCCAGTGGGAACGAACACTAAGCTCAGCTGTGGCAGGAGGGGCAGGCGCAGCACCAGACGCGTAGTCATAGAGCGACACATGCTCCTTGCTATCGCTCAGGAGGAACAGCTGCAGGTCATCTAGCCAAGCGGTGAACCGCACAGGGCGGCCCTCAGCATCGAACGACAGTACGCGGATGGAAGCCATAGCGACAGTGTGACAGAGTAACGCAAGCTGCCGCAGCAGGGGAAGGCGACTGTGCACGGATAGAGAGCAGCGGGCGAGGCTGGCGCTACGGGCAGGCGGCGCTGCAAGCGGTCAGCGCGACGGGAGGGCGACGCTGCGAGCGGGCAGCTCGGCGGACGGGCCGGGAAGCGGGCAGCGCAAGTGGGCAGCACGGCGGGCAGGCGACGCTGAGAGGCGGGCGGGCCGCGAAGCGGGCAGCGGGCGGGCGGGCGGTCTGCGAAGCGGGCAGCGGCGCGAGCGGGCTGCGATGCGGGCGGGCCGCGAAGTGGGCAGCTAGCGGGCGGGCGGGCTGCGAAGTGGGCGGGCCGCGAAGCGGGCAGCGGGGCGAGCGGGCTGCGAGGCGGGCGGGCCGCGAAGCGGGCAGCGAGCGGGCGGGCGGGCTGCGAAGTGGGCGGGCCGCGAAGCGGGCAGCGAGCGAGCGGGCTGCGAAGCGGGCGGGCCGCGAAGCGGGCAGCGAGCGGGCGGGCGGGCTGCGTAGCGAGCGGGCCGCGAAGCGGGCAGCGAGCGGGCGGGCGGGCTGCGTAGCGAGCGGGCCGCGAAGCGGGCAGCGAGCGGGCGGGCGGGCTGCGAGCGGGCGGCTCGGCGAGGGGCGCGCGAGGGCGCTAGTGAGGGGCGCGCGAGGGCGCTAGCAAGGGGCGCGCGAGGGCGCTAACGAAGGGGCGCGCGAGGGCGCTAACGAAGGGGCGCGCGAGGGCGCTAACGAGGGTGCGCGCGAGGGCGCTAACGAGGGGCGCGCGAGGGCGCTAACGAAGGGGCGCGCGAGGGCGCTAACGAGGGGCGCGAGGTAGCGTGGTAACCGCATGCGAGCGGTGGTGGGCCCTTAAAAAAACGGTCGGTAGGTCCTAGGGACCTCCTGCTCTGAATACCATGTTAGAAGAACTAGGCAAGAATGGTGCATTGAATGAAACAGTTGGGTACAAGTAGCAAACCCTAGTTGGGGTTGTACCCCATATTGGCTACCCCACTACAGCCTACAAGCATAATGCAGTTTAACAGAGTTGACTGTGGCGAGGACCAGGTGAAGCCGAAGCGCTGAAGGACCTGCTGCACCATGTGTGACTGAGTCAGAGTGATGGTGCGGCGTGCTCTGTCCCGGGTGATCTGCAAGCCAAGGTAGTTGCGCAGCTCACCCAGGTCTGTGCACGTGTGTCGCTTCTGCAGCTCCGACTTCACCAGGGCGAGAGCCTCAGTGTCAGCAGTGGCAAAGACCAAGTCGTCGACGTACACGAGGATGTAGAACGGCGGCAGCGAAGTGTCGGTGCGCAGAAACAGCGACGGGTCAGCAGTCGAAGGAGCAAACCTAAGAGCCGCAAGTGTCGTCCTCGGTGTGTCGTGCCACTCACGAGGCGCCTGGCGGAGACCGTAGACTGGCCGCTGGAGGCTCCACTGGGTACCAGGCGGGAACGACCCAGTGAAGCCAGGTGGGCGGCGCAGCCAGATCTCCTCGTGCAGGCTGCCCTGTAAGAAAGCTGTGCTGAAGTCCAGTGAGTGAAGCTCGTAGTCACGCTGAGCGGCAACGTGTAGCAGCACCCGAAGAGTGGTCATCTTCGGGGTGGGGGAGAAGGTCTGGAAGAAGTCGACTCCCTCTCGCTGACTGAAGCCTCGAGCAACGTAACGAGCCTTGAAGACAGACGGAGAACCCGGCGGCCGCTTCACCCTGAAAATCCACATGCCATCAACGATGTTCGCCCCTGGAGGGGGAACCTCATCGACGTAAGTGCCTGTGGACTTCCAGGATGCCATCTCTGCGTCCATGGTTGTCTGCCACAAAGATTAGGGGCCCGCGATCGCCTCAGCGTAAGAGCGCGGGGTCGGGATGTCTATAGCATCCGGGTCTCCCTCAGGGGCAAGCAGCATGGCCACGAGATGAGGCGTAGCGGCTGCAAGACACTCAAGGTCCTCCTGTCTGTCCTCAAGGACGTCCGTGCCAAGAGCACACTCACCCCCTATAGACGGAGGACAGACAGACTCAGACTTAGCAACTAGACCGGCGGCGTAGTCCAGACGACAGGCAGCAGCAAAGTCGACAAGCTCAGCGACCAAGGCAGACGCAGCAGCGGACTCAAACGACGGGTCGGTGACAACAGTGGCTAACAGACGCGTGACAGTAGAATGCTCAGCACGAAACCGGTCAGACTCAGGGTCAGCAACGTCTGGCAGAAAGGACGCAGGAGGAGACGGCAGAGGAACACGCTGCGGAGCAGAGGACGGACGACGAGGTGCGCGCCGGGGACAGCCGGCGAACACGGATGAGGAACACGACGACTGGTACGACTAGATCGAACAGGCGAGACAGGACGCGACGCAGGCTCACGACGCTCAGCAAGACCTCCTGCCTGCTCAGTGTAAGGGGAAGGAGCAGGCAGCGGTGAGCCAGGCTGTAACGAAAGACCAGTAGAAGACGGGAGGCTGAGAACCTCACTAAGGACAGTGTCAGGCGGTGGCTGAGACGACGGAGACGGTGGAGCGAAGAACAGTCGCGGGGGTGCAGTGCCACCAGCACCAGCAGCTCCAGCACCTCCAGCACCAGCACCCGTAGCAGCTCGAGAACCTCCAGCGCCAGCACCCTCAGCAGCTCCAGCACCTCCAGCTATAGCGCCAGCACCTCCAGCAGCGCCAGAACCTCCAGCGCCAGCACCCTCAGCAGCTCTAGAACCTCCAGCTCCAGCGCCTCCAGCACCAGCACCTCCAGCAGCTCCAGAACCTCCAGCAGAAACAACTCCAGTAGCAGAGTCACAAGCTCCATCACCTCCAACAGCAGGGCCCCTAGCTCCAACAGCGCGACCCTGACGGCCAACGTACCACTCACGCAGCTGCTGTGGGGAGAGAGGGAGTAGACGACGAGAGTGCAGCCAGCGGAGCGACTACGGAGACGGCCGCTCCAGGGAGACTGCTCACCAGACGCCTCAGCGCCCCCAGGTGCAGCACCCCCAGACTCAGTACCCCCAGGCTCAGCACCCTCAGGCTCCTCACACTCACGCTCAGCACCTCCAGGCTCGGCACCCTCAGGCTCCGCACCCCCAGGCTCAGCACCCCCAGGCTCTGCACCCCCAGGCTCCGCACCCCCAGGCTCAGCACCCCCAGGCGCAGCACCCCCAGAAGTAGTACCCCGAGCAGGACCACCCGCAGCAGGACCTGAGTCACCAGTGACCTCAACCGGCGCAAACAAGGGAGGAGGGTCAACCTGAGACACACCTGAAGGAGCAGGACCGGGAGCGGGGAGGGGGTCTACCTGGGGAGCACCTGGAGCGAGAAAGAGCGGCGGGGGGGGGAGAGGGGCAGTGCGGTAGGGGAAGAGACGGTAAAAGGGAACCGACTCGTCGAACGTGACGTCCTGAGAGGGGAAGACACGGCGCGAGGTGGGGTGGTAAAACTGCCAACCAGGCGCGTCAGGGACAAAGCCAAGGAAGACACAGGGAACAGCGCGGGCGGAGAGCTTGTCCGCGGTGGTATCGCGGACAAAGGCACGAGCACCCCAGACCCGGAAACGCGACGCATCGCCAACCTTCCCCGTCCATAGCAGCGTGGGCGAGGTCTCCGGTAAGGAGACACGGGGCCAGAGGTTGAGCTGATGCGCAGCGTACCGGACCGCAAACGGCCACAGAAAATGGGGGGCAGCCGCATGGATCATGGAGGTACGAGCGACCTCCATGACTAAGCCAATGCGGCGCTCAGCAACCCCATTCTGCTGCGGAGAGGCCGGAAGCGTGAACGTCTGACGGATGCCGTGCTCCGCACAGAAGGCTGCCAAGAGGTCTGAGGAGAACTCACCACCTCTGTCAGAGTGCAGACACAGGACGGGAAACTCCGTCCCGAACCGCTCGCGGAGCTGGAGACGGGCAGCGCGGATCCAAGGGATCAAAACATCAGGGACCTCCCCCTTGCGCTGCAAGGGGAAGACCGTGGTGTAACGCGTGTAGTCGTCGACGACCAGCAGGAAGTACCGCTCGTGGCCCTGTCCACGGACGCGGGCTGGGCCCCACACGTCCGGGTGGAGAGTCTGCAGGGGAGCCTCTGTGGGAGGGAACGAGGAGGAGTGAGGAGCGGCGCGCTGCCGCCCCTCGACACAAGGAAGACAGGGAGGAGCAGGCGAGGGTGGGAGGGGAGGGAGAACCCTGGGAAGACCAGAGACAAGGACACGGCGGTGCATGCTACGAAGGCGCTGCACCGAGGGGTGACCAAGGCGGTGGTGCCAAAGGAGGGTCTGGTGCGACAAAGCGCGACACGAGCAGGGGGCCGCTAGCTGACCTGACGTAGACGCAGACGCAGCTACCTGAGGGGACACAGTGGTCAGTGTGTACAGACTCGAGCCAGGCGCACGGGTAAATGTGGCCAGGTGTCGGCCGGTCCGAGCACACGTACAGTGAGTCACTCGCTGACTCGCAGGAGTGAACTGGTCAACCCCGCCATCCTGGAGGTCAGCTCCACTCACCAAGTTCGTAGAGAACGAGGGGAGGTAGAGACCTGACAGCGAGCCAGACGGGACGGCCGGACACGGCAGAACCGTGGAGTAGTGGGCAAGGACGGGACCCCCAGAGGGGTCCGCCAGGGAGACTGGAACTGGCCGACTAAGCGGCGTGAGTGTGGTGCAGTCGCGAAAGAAAGAGCGGGAAGCTCCTGAGTCAAGGGTGAAGGTGTGCAAGACCGCAGCAGGCGCAGCACCAGAGAGAGCAGACTCACCAACACCTGAAGCAGCAGCCTCACCAGCACCTAGAGCAGCACTAGCACCTAGAGCAGCAGCCTCACCAGCACCAAGAGCAGGAGACGCACGAGCACCAAGAGCAGCAGGGTCTATACCTGGGTCAGGCGGTACGCACAGGTAACAGGCACCGTCCGTACTAGTAGGCAATGCATACATGGCAGTGAGAATAGCATCATAGTCAAGAGCAAAGATATCTACCCTCTGCCTAAGCAGCTTCAACCAGGTGGGGAGCTCAACCTCGTCGCCAAACTCGGTACGC